TATGTGTGGTCTAAAGATGAGTGTATGTCGTTGAATGGCTATAATAGCCGCTAGTAATTCATTTGTCGTATCAAGTGTCGATTCAATGTACATCCAACCTCTACAGTATATACTTGTTGCTGGACTGATGTAACTGAACCGAAAGAAATCAAGACACATTGGTAGATTAACTGTTACTTGAATAAAATTAACAATCAATAAAACTAGTAAGGCTTTGTTTTGCAGTTTATTAAGTTGAGTTGGATTAGTAATGAAAAATGCAAAAATGCAAAGAAAAATAAGAATTGCTGGGATTTGTAATGAGAGTATTAGGAAAAATTTAGTGCGATGGATAATATAATCATGATATGTTAATGTGTCCATGTTATTCACAATAATTGTCGAGTTAAAGAGAAGAGATAACGAAATTCTTCGAGTATGTTGATGGAATAAAACTTATTCAAATAATGACTTTTCTTTTTCTTATCCTTTCGGACATCTATTTCTGTCTTCCGTTGTAAAAATCCGGCTTTAATATTCAGTAGATTAATCAAGAGAAAATGTTGCCAAAATGAATATTCATTAAGTTAATTAAAATAACGACACACCATGTAGTCTTTTGCAGAGTTAAAAATAAACATTAATACATAATTATTTTTATATCATATCGTTAAAAGATGTTGTCTATAGAAAACAATCTCATTATTCTAATTATAGAATTTATTCATGTATGCATTGACTATCCGCTATTAGCACGAAATTCATCTGACAATTTTTTACATATTTTTACATCGTGTGATAGAGTGAAAGTTGTTGATCATGATAATACACTTTATAGCTTTAGCCAATGCTTCGTTCTAATCAACACAAAAAAATAAGTTTGTTCGTGTTTGATTTTCTGATAAAACTCTCCGTTACCATAAAAGGTAAAAACTCTGATAATCTTATCACGCGAAGCTTTGACAAGTGCCAACAGAAATAAATTCAGTTTATATTTGTGTCACATGAGATACTAGATAGGATGTGGTATAAAGATAATATCCACGCTCACTCTCAAGATGGTGAATATTGATTTAAAAGATTTTTTCTCGTTAAATTAACTAACATCGTTATTTAATCAAGAATACATGATATACATCAAAAAAAGAAAATAATAAAGTTTTTTTTTGTTTTATTCAATTGAAATTAGTCATTAGTTTCTTCCTCTTCCTCTTCTTCTTCATCTTCGTTTCTTTCTTCTTCTTGTTCATGTTGATTATCATTTTCTTCTTGTTCTTCCTCTTCCGCTTCTCCTTCTTGTTCTTCTTCTTCTTCATGTTCCACTGCTTCATCTTCATTTTCTGGTTCTTCTTCGTCTTCTAAATAAAATCAAAGTAAAAATTAATCGACAATAAAATATTATTTACCATTAACAGCTTCTAATTCTTCTTCATTATCAAGAGCTTTCAATCGTTTTCTCTAGAAAGAAAAATAGATTTATTGTATATTTCAAAAACAAAGCTTGGCTTTTGTCTTCTCTCCTAACCTGATTTTTTTCTTCTAAATCAAGAAACGGTCGATAACGTTGAATAAGTCGAAGATTAGCTGTTTTTGCACCACCACCAACAGGCCGTCGTTTACTTAAACGTACTCTAAAACAAAAAAGATGAATTAAATCTATAGAATTTACAAATCTTTACCTTGTTTCAAGTTCATTATAAACAATTGAATCATCTTTAACACTTAGAAAATAATTTTCTTCAAAACCACTCATTGTTTTATCTTTTCGATTCCAATTATATTCACGTATTAATTTAAAGTCATAAGATTCATCAGCATCATCTTGTTCTTCACGTGCACGTTTAGCTCGTGTTTCAGCAGTTGGAAGAAAATAACCAATATATTCTTTATTATCAGGATCAACTAATGCTCTGAAAACGAATTTTTGATTCAATAAGAAAAAAAGAATAACAAAATGATTTTTTGTTTTACTTGATAACTGCATCGGACATTTCTTCCACTTGTTCTTGAGATGTTAATGTTGGATCTTTACGTGATGGATCATCATCAAATATAACTTGTGCAAATGGATATTTCCAATTCTATAATGAAAAAAACATAATTCATTTTAGTGTTCAATTATAAAATGAGTTTTCTTACATCGAAATCAGGAAATAATGGCCATTCTTCTAATTTGACTACAGATGGTTTAGTATAATGTTTTTCAAGCTAATTACAGAAAAAAATTATGATATAAATAAAATAGATTTTCTAAATATATTTACAGGTGTTTTAGCAGTATCAAAACCTTCTTCAATAATTTGTAATATACGATCTTTTGTTAAATATCTGAGAGATTCTTCACGAAGTTTTTCTTTAGCAGAACTTAATCTAAATATTATAGAAAATTTCATTTACTTTTGTCTTCTTGTATTTAAATTTTCATACCTGACTTCACCCAATTTTATTGATGATTTAAGTGAACTTTGTTCTGTTGAAATATATTCTGTTTTACGTAACCATGGTACACTTCGTTTATTTAACAATGATCTAAAAATATGTTTACATATAAAAATTTTGTTAGTCAAAAGAAAAAACAATCATTTGTACCGTTTAAGATTAGCTGGACTAGCTGTTTCTTCTTCTAATAATTTTTCATCATCTTCTGTAATCTGTCCTAAAAATGAATAAATGAATAGATTTTACTTTCATTAAAATCTAATATCTAACCAGTTGTAGCATATGCATCTGGATTAATGAGATCAATTTCAACACCCACATCATGTTCAGTAAGTAAATCCCAACGATAATTTTTCTCTAAAGATGTTGGTTTGTAACGAACAAATCTAATAAAAAAATATTTTTTTTTGTTTTATAGAATTAAAAACTAATAGTAAACCTGTCTTGATTAAATGGATATCGAAGAAATTTTGGATCAAATGGAAGATCAGGTAAAACATTTGTATAACGAACACGACAGACAATATCCGATCTAGAGAATAAAGAAATTAAACTTCGAAGAAAAAATAATGTTTAGATCTACCGTCGATCGTGTTTTTTTGCTTCACGTTCAAGACGATTTGTTGGTATTGTACTACCATTTGTAGTTGAATTTGAATTTGTGGTTGTTGGTTGTGTAATTGGTGGTGCCATTAATTTGAGGGTGTGGGCAATTAAAACGTAGAATATGATAAGATTGATTCGTATATTTAGATTGACAAAAGATTTTTGATTGGTGTAGAAATCAACCAATTAGATATTACTTATAAATCTAACCTTGAAAGAGATTATTTTTAAGATTTTTTAAATTGTCGATTTCATAAAATAAAGTTTAAAAATATATTTCAAATATTATTAAATAGATGTCGCCTTATGAATTAATCATAGTTCTTTTTATAAAAGAAATTATTTTATTACAATGATACATATATATTTAGAAAACAAAAAGTATAATATTACATAGTTGTGTCCATACTTAAATCATTCTTACTACCAGTAGTAGTAGTCTCTGTTTCAGTTTTAATCTCTTCATTTTTCATTAAATCAATTGCTCTGGTTATTGCAATACTAGTCCTAACATGAGATGCATATAAATTTCTTTGAAAAAGTAAAGCTTCACGCGCAATATTTTGTACATGTTGAGTTTTAAAATGAAATGGAAAAAATTGTAGTATAATAATTGTATAACATAGTATAGCTGCAACAAGTTCTGATAAAACCGAAACTCGTTCATAGATATGGTTATGATGATTAAAATAAAACCATTCAGTTGCAACAGATATCGTTGTTGTTGTTGCAAATAAATATAATGCTGATTTTATCCATACACCTTGAAATCTTGAATATGCATCAGAAAAAAAATCAAATAAAAGAAAATATGCGATCATTTTACGTGTTAATGATGTATAATTTGAATTCATATAAGCTGGTATAAATATTGTTAATATAACTTCTAAACGTGACATAAAATGAAATAAATGTTTATTTTCTACAAGGATATGTGATTCATATTGTTTAATAACACGACAATAAATTAAACCACTTGTAAATAATAAATCAAATAATATTGAACAACTATAAAATATCATATTTACGATATCTTTTTTTTCTATATAATAAATTAAATAACCAATTGTTCCTGTTTCTGTTATCATACATAATATGATATAATAAATAGTCAATGCTTTTCGTGAACGTATTGGTACACAATATTGTAAAAACAAAAATACAATCGTTATAGTTGATAGAAGACCTTCATAAGAACGTTCTTCAGTGGGATATTGAAAATGAAACCATGCATCAAATACATAAGCACTTGATGAACATATTGGTAGAACAATCATTGCATATAAAAAGAATTGATCTTGTCCATCTTCAGGTTCATGTAAATCAAAAAATCCCATTCCTACAAGAATCGTTTTAGTTTAGTCGGGATACTAGAATGATTGTATATAAACGCTTATATATTACATTCGATATCGGTAAATACTGATTTGAATAAATATTCACAGGTAAAATATCTTGAAGCAATCAGCTTTTCTATTGAAAAATATGTTTTTATTTGCAGACGACTCTTTTTTTTTTGCTTACAAAGTTTCGTATTACTATTTTCATTTATTCGTCTTAAAAGATTTTGTCCTATATAAAACAAAATTAAATATTAAAAAGATTATTCGTTCATTGACGTCGATGATTTTCATAAAATATCAACAGATTTTGAAATTTCTTAAGTAAGATTATAAATAGTGACGAAGTTATTGTAAATTAGCATAATAATAATTATATTATATATTGATGTGCTGAAGGGTGATGGATAAAAAAAGAAATTTAAATAATATTGAGAGCATCAAGGTGATTTGGTATAAGAATTAAATAGTTACATCATTTAAGTCTTAGAGAAGAATCCTTTATTTTTCAATTTGAAGGTGCATCGATTATAATTCATTTAGTACATTTTCATATATTAAGCTTTGCTTTTCAAATTTATTACATATTTAAAAATAAAACATCAATCTATTAACAGAAATTAGAATGTCTGTAGTTCAATGAGTGTCTCTATTGAGTTTTTCATCTTCCAATTCTGTATCAGATCCCATTTCGATGCGTGTTTCTTTGTCATTTGTTTGTTGAATTCTTCTTCTTTTACGAGCAATTTTCGATAAACTTAATGGTTTAAAATGATAAGGACTAAATTGAAGAATAATTAATGTATTACATAACACTGCTGATATTAATTCAAATACTGATGACAGTATTTCATAGACTTCTTTATGTTCATTGGCATAAATCCATTCTGTTGCTACACATACAGTTACTGCACATACAAATATATACAAATTTGATTTTATCCAAAAACCTTGAAAACGGCAATATGAATCAGAGAAAAATTCGAATAGTAAAAAAAATGCTATTGAATGTTTTGTTAATACAGGTGATGTATTACTAATAAAAAATGGTATAAATATTGCAAGTATAACTTCTAATCGTGATATAAAATGAAATAAATGTTTACTTTCAACATGAAAATTTGGTTGACAATGACAATATACACGATAATATATTAAAAAAACATGTTGTTATTAATTCTAATATTGCCCATCCTGAATAAATCATTATATCAATATAATTTTGTTTTTTACAATAAACAATTAAATAACCAATAGTACCCGTTTCAGTTAATAAACATAATAAAATATAATAACCAGCAAGTATTCTATGTGATGCAATTGGTACACAATAACGTAAGTATGTAAAAACAACAAGAATAGTTGAAATTAGTCCCTGATAACGATGAATATGAGCATCATGGAATAAATAATAGTAAGCATCAAATATATATGAACCATCAGCTACAATAGGTAGAATAACCATACTCCATAAGAAAAAACTATCTTGTCCTTCTTTAGGTGCTCTTAATGGTAGTCGAAAACGATGAGGCATTGTATTATTCGATTAACTGATGTTAATGTTAAATAAGGTGTACTTTTATACACCTACATGGTTACACTTCAATGCACAACGACACGCCCTATGTATTGTTTTAAAGACATTTTTCTACTAGAGTACGTTAATAGTTATGATTACTAAAAAAAGGCATGCATTACATCATATTATATATATATATATATATAAGATAAATTTATTGAGTCTCTATCGCCTATTTTACAGTACTACGAAAATGAGTAATCATACAACATTATGGCAGTTCTTTTATTTATAATTAAAAAAAAATGTCACTCAAAAATTTTATCTGTTTTCAATATTCATTATAACTGATTATATAAAAGTTTAGCAGAGTTGACAGTGTTCATATTGTATTATACAATTGATTATTTTCTGAGCCATAAGACCAATACGACAGCTAATGCAATGCCAACTGTTAAAAGTCCAATAGCGAAACCAAGCATACCTAGTTTGCAACGAGGTGATAATCGCTTAGTTAACGAACCACATATCCCATCCGAACTAAAAGAAAATAAATTTTTATTTTATATGAACTTTTCTTTTCAGACCTTTTTATCGTTTTGATATTTGATAAATTATTATTTGTGTTTGTTGTATCCATTCCTTTCGTAAGTGAATTGTCTGGTGACCATATTTGATTTGTTTTAACAGGTGGTTTATTTATTGACCATAGATCGCTTGGTCTCGCAAATGCATTATTAGGTGGTCGCTGTTCATTTGGTTTTGGATGTGTAATACTTGGTGGCCATTGTTCACTTGGTCTTGCATATGGGTTATTTGGTGACCATTGATCGCCTGCTTTTGGATAGATATTAGTAGATAGTCGTTGATCAGTTGGTTTCGGATATGGATTATTTGATGGCCATTGATCAGTTGATTTCGGATATGGGTTATTTGATGACAATGGATCGCCTGGTTTCGGATATGAGTTACTTGATGACCATTGATCACTTGCTTTCGGATATGAATTACTTAATGGCCATTGATCACCTACTTTCGGATATAGGTTACTTGATGACAATGGATCGCTTGGTTTCGAATATGGGTTATTTAAAGATCTTGGATCAAATGTTTCCGTATGTGGAATACTTGTTTTAAATGGATTTACTGGTTTTGTCTCTGATCGACTTCCATCCAATGGTACTGATGACCATAAATTTGTACTCGATGTTGGCATATAACCATTAAAAGGAGGCAATGAAGGTGATATAACGTTTGGTTCAGGCGACAATGCTGGTGGTCGTAATGGATTCTGCTGTTTGTACATATTCTCCAATCCCATATAATCCTTTTAATTAATATGAAAAGATAGATAAATGAATAAAATTCTTACTAATCTTACCATGATATGCTATGACACGTATAGTTTCTTCTTATTTTATTGAATTCTAAATAAAATGCATTATTTCTTTCTAGTTATAATATCATTACTAAAGCTTCTTTTATAATTTTTTTCTTTTTTTTCTAAATATTTTACATATTAATCAAAACAACGAACCTCTTTTTTTTGTTTATTTCAAACAAACGAAACATTGTCATGTTTATTTTTATTACATAGCAAAATATGTCAATCATATTATAGGAACTTTCGTTCTATTTTGTCGTAATTAATCAACATACACATTATTTATCTGATGAACAATATCGAAAAAAGTTTTAGATAAACTTAAAGGAATAAAATATGATTGTCAAAAATAATTCTCAAAGATAGAATGTAATATATCTAATGAGTAAGAACTGTCTGATGAAATAATTGAAAAATATATGAAATAAAACAATACCAAAGATACCTTTAAAGAAGCATATGATCATGAAACAAATCAACGAAAATATATAACTAAAAAACAATTATAGAAGATCTATATGAGAATGTTTGAGGATGCTGTTCAAATATTTTCAAAAACGAGAAAAAACATATTATAAAATTCATAAGTTGTTTTTTTTTTGCAATATTATTCTTATTCTCTCAATTATTATATTCAATGTCAAAGTTCATTTGTTTGTTAGAGTTTCATATTTAGTTAATTTCGACTAGATCTTTTTATTTATTGAATAAATCGATTTTAACCTTAGTTGCACTTTAGGTTGTCGAATATATTCGTCACAAGGTAAAAAGAAATAAGCATTTATTCGATGTCACATGTATCTTATCATTCTCTATGTCTTGTCACATGAGAAAAAATATTTTATACGTAAATAAAAAGAAAAAGCGAAATATTTTGAAATGGGCGAATATTCATTTTACTTTGAATATCATCTACTGTATTAACAGTTTTATGGGTTTCTTCAATAATATAATAATGTAGATTTTTTTATGACGATCTTTTGAAAAGAGAAATATTTTTCATTGATTATACAAAAGAAGAAGTAGCTGTTTTAATATTCAAATGATGATATATTAATAATATTCTTCATATACGGATTCCTAGCAAAGTTCTTCAAGGATATTGTTTATAAAAGTACATTAAATCTATGCAATATGATAGTCTGATATAGTATAAGAAAAGAAAAATCTGTTGTATTTATTTCAATATTGAACTAAAATAAAGAGACACGAAATTTTATTAATCTTATTTCATTTTTTGTTTCCATTAAAAAAAAAACAGTTTCTTTTTTCAAGATTGTTCAATCACTTTTCGTGAGAATACATTTTGATCAAACACATTTTTTTTTCTTTCATTTTTTCATTAATAAACCACATGTCGAAGTCACAAGACTTTCCGCATGCTCGCCAAGTACAGAGAATAATAAGAAAACAAAAAAAACTCGCAAGAAAAACAAGAAACAAAGATAAGTTCGTCACTCGAGTCAAATAATTTCATAAAGAGAAGTTTAATATACATAAGCACCAGAAAAAAAATTATCATGAACAAAAAAAAGAAAGAAAAAGGAAAAGAAGAAAAACCAAAACACAACTGTATTTTTTAATAATGAAAGTTAGGTGTAAAATGAGATGGTAATGTTGAAGGTTGATATAAATGTGCAGGTGGTGGTGGTTGAAATTGGTGTTGATGAGAATCAATTTTTGATGGAATTGGTTTATAAACAAGTGAAACAGGTTGTTGATGATGATGTTGTTGTTTATTTTCTTCATCACTGTCATCTTCATCATCATCCTCATCTTCGTCATCATCATCTTCAATTGTATCAACTTGTCGAGATAATATATCATCACCATCAGGTTCATTTACCGAATCATCATCATCATCATCATCCGATTGATTTGTTCGTGGTGAATTAATTAATGATGGATTACCATTATTTCTTCCATGAGTATTCATTGATGGATTATGATAACTATTCATATTATTATTATTAGCATGATTTGACATATCTTCTTCAAGAAATCTTGTACATTTCTTCTTTCGTCGACAATGTTTACACCATTGACTTTGACCTTCTAATCCAAATCTTGCTCGACATTTCTTTTGATTTAGACAATCTAGAAATCAAACAAAATGTTTCGTATATAAATAATTTATTAGTCTTTCTTTTTTACCATTCTCTAATTGCATTGGATTTTTATTTGAATTCATATGTGGACTATTGATTAAATGATGTTGTTGGCCATAACGATGCGGACTACCATGATTTAAATGTCCTGGACTATTAACCATAGAATTATTTTCTCTTGGTGCTTTCTTATGTGAATTATTTAATACAGGTGTATGACCACTTGATTGTCGTTTCTTTTTTAAACCATAATTATCTCGTGCTGACCAACCAGGATATAATTGCATATGACGATTACGTTCTTCTTTTGCTAATTCTAAATAAAAAAAAAAGCTTTTTAATTTATCTATTTAGCAAAATATTTTAATTTACCATAATATCTATCTTGTTCAGCTCGAGGTAATTCTTTCCATTTTTGTCCAAGAACTTTATTTATAGCTGATGATTCTTTTAATGTACATTCTTCAATAACACGTGCACGTTGTTCTTTCATATAAAGCATAAATGCATTTAAAGGTTTTTTTTATATGAGGTTTCTTTGGACGTTGTGCATCGAGAAGAACACTGAGACTAAAATAAAGAAAACAATAGAGAATACAATAACAAAATATTTTTATATGTTGTCATACTTTCGAGGAGATCCATCATAATTCTGATGATGACGATTAGAAGATGATGAAGAAGATGATGATGCGGATGGAGCTTGTGGTGGTCGAACGCCAGGTGCCGGAATAGGTATACCAAATGGATTGAAAAGATTGGGACGAAATGATTGATTACCCATACCAGGTGGATATAATGAAGGAAAAGGCATACCTTAAAAAATTAACATAGACATAGAATATATAGATTTTTTAATATTTACCTGGATTGAAACCAGAAAATGGTGAAGGTGCACCACCATATGGATTAGAAGTAAGTAGATTCTGTCCATCTGATGATTTATCCTAAGAAAAAGAATTTTATTTTGATAAAAAATTAAAATAATGAAATTTCGTTACTGTTGATGAACCAGCAGCATTTGCTTGTGCAGCTGCAGCCATTAAATATGGATGAAACATTGGATGAAAATATGGATAAAGGAATGGTGATGTATATAAACCAGAAATACTACTATGCAATGGATCATTTTTATCAGGACTTGTCTAAAACAAAAGAGGAAAAATAAGATTCTTTTTCAAATAAAATATTTTGAACATACTGGTGTTTCAATAACTGGTGAAAGACGATCCTCAATTCCATCGACATCAATATCATCATCAGGGTCATTTTTTTTTATTGTCGATGCTGAAAATATTTTAATTTCATCTGTTCCATCTTCCATTTTAATTGTTGTAATTGTTTCATCATTAGTATTATTACTACTACTACCGGTTATTGAACGTTGTTTAGGATCTGTTGATGTTGTTGAAATAGATGATGGAGAACTTGGTGATGATGATATTGGACATTTTTTAATTGGTGTTTGAAATTGTGTTTGATCAAATGTTGGTGATGCCATTGATTTGTTTTTTAGTTTAAATTCTATACATAATTATTACTTGTCTTTGATCATTGAAAACGATGGGTGGAGTAAAAGAGAAGTCGCAAATCGTCTATCTTTTCTTCTTCTTTTTTTTGTTTTACAAAGCGGCAGTGTGTTTGAACTGACCTTCAAATAGAACAAGAAAAGAAAAGGGAATGATGTTCATTCACCATCCACTCATTTCTTTCGTCGTCGTCGTCCGTTCGCTGAGAATGAAGGAGAAAGAACAATGACATGGCTCACTTCTCCTTCTCTCTCTTTTCGCGGCCACTGGTCAAGGCTGCCGGACGGTAGTAGACAAAAAAAAAAGAAAGAAAACGAACGCCAATCGACTGTCAAAAGAAAGTAACACATTGACGGCAACACACATTGTCGGCGGCAAGAAAGAGAAAAAGAGAAGAAAACAAAATTAACGCCACGTCGTATGCGCCTGCGTTCATCATGTTTCTG